TTTACAAGAGTGTTATCCAGCACACACATAGGACAGTGTTTTACAAGAGTGTTGTCTAGCACACACACAAGACAGTGCTTTACAAGAGTGTTATCCAGCACACACACAAGACAGTGCTTTTTAAGAGTGTTATCTAGCACACACACAGGTCAGTGCTTTACAAGAGTGTTATCTAGCACACACACAGAAAAGTGCTTTACAAAAGTGCCCTCTTTCAGAAGTGTATTGAGCTCCACTCCTTCACGCTACACTATAAGTCCAGTATAGGGTTATGTGCTATACTACGCTACACTATCAGTACAGTATAGGATTATGTGCCAAATTACGCTACACTATCAGTATAGTATAGGGTTATGTGCTATACTGTGCTACGCTATCAGTACATTACAGGGTTATGCGTTATACTGCGCTAGACTATCAGTACACCATAGGATTATGTGCTATACTACGCTACACTATCAGTACAGCATAGGATTATGTGCTATACTACGCTACACTATCAGTACACACATAGGATTATGTGCTATACTACGCTACACTATCAGTACAGCATAGGATTATGTGCTATACGACGCTACACGATCAGTACAGCATAGGATTATGTGCTATACTAGGCTACACTATCAGCACAGTATAGGATTATGTGATATACTAAGCTACACTATCAGTACATTACAGAATTATGTGCTATACTACGCTACACTATCAGTACACTACAGGATCATGAGCTATACTACGCTACACTATCAGTACAGTGTAGGCTTATGCGAAATAAAGTGGGCACTGACATGGCTCTCAAAGAACCGGACAAAGGAATAAGAATGCCTGCGCCCGGTGATACCCACGTACTTTTTAACACTGAAACAATTGGTAAATACTGCAGTACATCTCTGCACAGAATCACATACTTTTCAACGCTGAAACAATAAGCAAATGCTGTAGCGCATTTCTGCACAGAATCACATACTTTTCAACGCTGAAACAATAGGCAAATGCTGTAGCGCATCTCTGCACAGAATTAGGTCGTATCCATTGGGAATGGCCTCAGTCTCCAGATCGCGAACTTCGAAGGACCATCTGAGATGAAGTGATGAGTGATATAGGTTGCAAAAACAATTGATACCTTTCGTCGAAGAACCATTTGAGATGAAGTGATAAGTGATATAGGTTGCAAATACAATTGATACCTTTCTTCGAAGGACCATCTGGGATGAAGTGATAAGTGATATAGGTTGTAAATACAATTGATACCTTTCAGATGTAAGATATTGATTTCCAGAGATAACACGTGTACATCGCTTCGAGAGGACTGAAGGGGTAGTACTTGCTTGTTGCATATACACGTGCACGATATTTAGACGCAGAATATAGTCAGCACATAGTGCCTTAATGCAAAAGAACCTCTGCCGATAGGACGCTGTCTACCAATAGTGCGAAAACACACATAGTATGTATACGCTTCAGCTCTACACTATTGCGAAGGACTGCACTTGTCCTATTTATTTCTATTCCACTGATAGTCTGCTCAAAAACTTTTAGGGTTTAGGATTTTAGAGTTTTAGGGTTAGGGTTTGGGGAATACAATGGCCAAGACTAATGTACGAGGGCATGTGGCGGGTGTCTAGATCAGGATGGTTAAGCAAGTCAAACAGGGCAGTGCATGTACAATGTATGTACCACAGCAGAGCTTTACAATAGGAAAATGGGCCCAACCGTCTCCTATTCACTTTTTGTATGACTCGGAGCAGCCAGACGGATCAAATGCGTGCACACAGCCACACGGAATACATAAAACAATTGGGAAAAACTGCAGTAAAAACCTAAACGAAGAAAAACCCCAAACGAAAAGCGTTCCTAGCCAACAGCAGAACCAGAATAGCTTCACCTGAGCATGGGCCATTCTTAAGTTTAATTCACAATACAAACACATGAATAAACAAATCAGCTCCCACACACAACCACTTAGAGCGTACGCGAACGCTTACGTCGTTTCCGCAGCAAATTCCACTCGGTTCATGATCACCACGGAGGAGACCACATCCACGCCTTTATAGGCGAGTGCCGATAGACCTTCCGCTGCGCGGGCGGTGGCTTGTTCTCTAAGCCAGATACTGGTCCACTTCATCCTACCGCAGGGCTATACAAGAGAATGTATAATGATACGTGCGGCTGATATATAAGTTGATACATAATCGAGTGGTATTGAAAGATATTACACAGTTGAACAGCTGGTCATATACTGGTCAATCGCATCCTTCTATGGATATGCTGTAGTTTAAGAGTGGGGAAAGGTATCAGTGCAACACACTGTACGTACAATAACTATGGGGAAACATGCTTGTACAGGATAAGAGGCGAAGCAGAGTAGACCAATGCGCACACCTACTACTAATTGGGATAACCTGGTAGAGTAGCCTAGCAACACGCCCTGAAGTATTTACTATACTATACGATATAACTAGCTGAAAAACGGTATATATATATGTATATATATATATATATACATAAATACATACGCTAATGACATATATACTTTATCACACAGACAATATATATAGATATATATATATATCTATACATACATACGATATTTATGCACATACATTCATACGCACACATGATATATACAGATATATAGATATATACCATATATATATATATATATACTTACATACATACATATACAAATACACGGGTGAATAAATATATACCAATCAAATAACAATAAAAACACCGATATACACTATATATATATATATACCACTATATATACGAGTATATAATATAAACCGTTATATATTTATATATAAATATATATAAATTATATACATATATATATATACATACATACATACATATATATATATATATATATATATATAATATGTGTGTACAAGATATATATATATATACATCGATAGATATAGTATATAAATATATATAATGTGAGTAACTTATTCAGTTCACGAACGGTTTAGAGTGAAATATCGTTTGTACTTTATATGATCAAAGTAGTGCGATAGCTTACAATATTGTGAAGACTGATCACTTCACAACCTAAACATATATAGTCATAACCTAGATATTGTCTGCCATCAGACCCTCTGGCAACTGATGCAACATCTCGTTTCTGCGTGTCCAGTCTCCACTGAAGCACGCCACGATACTATTTAGTTTTATGCTCCTCCTCTATTGGCCTACGCCTACCGAATCAGCTGTAGACATGAGCCAACATCATAAAACATACAACATTGTTCCATCACCTCTAAAACTACCCCTCCTACACCCGAGTCATCCAGCAAGCCTCACTACTGCACATGAGCCATCAAACATGACACACTACTACACGTGGAACTCACACATACTACAATATATATAAATATATATTACAATATATATATATATATATATATATATATATGTATATATATTACAATATATTACAATATATTACAATATATATATATATATATAGATAGATAGATAGATTGATAGATAGATATATATATATACTAAAAATGCCCAATCGTACACACACAAATACATACATATACTAAAAAACCCCCCCAATCGTACACGCACAAATACATACAAAACCACGATGATAAAAACACACACACACACAAACATACATACCTATATAAATATATTTATATGCATATATTTATATGCATACACGTATATATGCATATGCATACACGTATATATATATATGCATACACGTAT